TCGCAGTTTCCGGCTCGGGGGCCGACGGTCAACAAACCGACAAGCACTCACATTGCTCACCGACAACTCTTTGTCTCAGCTCCTTGAAACTGAAGCGCTTCAACTTGTTGTCATTCGTCCGGTATACTATTAGTATATCTACGGTACGTCTACTTAAAATTATGGTATATATAAATATAACAGAAAAAAAAGGAAGGGAAAAAAGGATGAATCATTTTTACCATCGTACCGCCCGCCACCGGAGTAGAGTTCATCCATACTACCTGGAGCCACTGAGGTCATCCACAGTGCGTTTCCACAGGTCTTTTTTGCCACGTACCATCATGTGGGCATGTCGGAGTCGAACCGACTAAAACCTCCTGTCGCTCAACAACTCACGTCCGAGCCTCTCATGAGACAGAACTCATGAAAAGGCAAAGGGGGGAGGGTGAAGCGTTTAGTGCGGAGCACATATCTCCCATCACCCTCCCCCTCGGGACGCCGGACCGGCGGTCGTCGGCGCCACGACCACCAGCCCTCTCGGTCGGCAGGCTGTCCGAAGCCCGTCTAGATGGCGCCGGTTAGAGTTAGTTATCCTACGGAATACCCCGCTGGGTCAGAACCAGCGTGGGTCGAGGATAGCCGGCCTTCCATCACCCGGATGCTCTTGCGTAAAACGCGTACAGAACAGCTTGCACGTCGTCTTCTTAGGCCCCCTTCGCCGGGCCCCAGACCGACATATGAAGGGGACCTGAAACACTTAGAGGGCCAAGGCTTGGGCGAGATCCGCCTCCCTGGCCCCCGTTCTCTACTGTCTATTTCGACTGCTCGTACTAGAACGAGTTAACATCACGCAGTGTATTCCTGCTGCGAAGAAATTTTACATTTCTACTACTAATTGAACATGGTGACATTTAGTCTAATAAAGAATTCGAAGTGTAACAAAAGATTTGAACAACAAACAGCATTTTGATTTATTGAGTCTTGAATGAGTCATGAAACAAGTAATTTATTTGCTTCTAATTCATTTGTAAACGCTTGATTATTTTCCAAACTCTTTTATATATTTATTTACCGAATCTAGCATTCGAGTTTTTAGAAACTTATGAGGGAGTTCATATAGAGTCCCTTCTTTATTTCGCCGTAAAGTCGTGTTTTATGTAATTAACACCACAGTTGGAACAATATAAATTTTATTGTTGTAGCAGCATAAACAATTCTAAGTAATTACATTATATTAGTTATTTAACACATTATAAATTATTTTTACGTTTTAAATATTTGGCGGTAAAAAGGTCCCGTGTCACAGACTATATTATTTTTCCCACCTCTCGTGCGTTACGGCTTACGCATCATAAAAAGGTGCGTTCTTAAACGCCAAACTTAGATGCAAAGGTGAAGACTGCTGTGGATGACATTAGGAACGCTAAAGAACTGTAATATCGCCACTTAGAAGCTTCCATACACTTCTTTTAATTTGTAAAAATATTTTTACATCTCACAAAAAAATCCTACACATAATATTCACGTATGGCAAAACCGTTAAAATGACACAGCGCTATTTCATCGCGAATCTTCGCCACGGGCACACGCCGATTACGATACATAATGCGTAATATTTTCAATGATACAAGTAAAACGGTCAATACGGGTGCAGATTACAATGAAAGCGATGAGTTCGCATAATTTTATTGATCTAAATACGTTCGAGTCATTGATCATTCGGTCAATAATACACATTAAACTTGTCACTATTCACTAGTGATGTAAAAGGATTTTATTTTTCATTTTATTTATTTATTGTTAACATAGAAATAGAAACACAATCATAATTTGCATCTGTGCTTGCACTAGGTGATAAAACCTATATCTCAAGTAGCAGTGCTCCTCGTACAAAGAACACAACAGCTATACTTTAGATAAACAAAAATAGAAAATTCTTAGACAAAGATTACCCTCTGTGTAATGAGTCTCAACATGAGTGAGTGTAAGAGGGTGTGTGTGGGTGTAATCAAAATGATTAAAATTTATTTAATAAAATTTCAGTATACTCATAGTTGAAATCAAGCAACCAATTAAGGATATAACGATATTGTAAATTCCCGAAGATCAGATACATTTTACAGAGTTTCGTACCTTTGTAAATAACATTACTAGTATAAAGTACTTACTAATAATTATTTGGAATGCATCCGTGGTCTTAAAGGTAAGTTATCCGATGCACTCATATCAAGTGATGGGCTTTCTGGATCAGTCAAAGAGTACTTAGGTTATTAACTATGGCTGTCTTCACCGTTGGTTAGTCAGGGGAGTAGTTAGAGGTTGCCGCAATAAAGGCTGCGTCGATGTCACGAACGAAGTAGCATTCTGATGGTGACTTTAAAAACTTATAGATAGATTATTTTAAGATAGTTACAAATAACAAAATTATTTAGTAGGAATTGAAGAATAATTACATTAGCACTAACTAACTGCATTGTAACTGAATTTATTTGGAGAGCACTTTCTTCCTAAATCTACTGCTAATTTCGATATCGGCATTCGACTTATTCGATAGATATTCAAAGATATCGATAATGTTGTAACTTTACCTCAACACTATCACAGTGTTGTACAAGTCTCAAAGTTGACCGATGGAGCGTGCCAAATCAATCGATCAATCATAACGCTTCCTTTTCATCTCTAACCAAAACCAGGTGTGGACCCTTCTGTCTCCAACTAGAGAATTATAATATTTTTAATATTTCATCAAACCGATGAAGCATTTCAAGTTGATTTTCAAGTTCTGATTTAACCACAAAATTTAGTTCATCACCCGACCTTCAGTAGTAAAAAATGCTATAAAAATCCCATTATAATTTACGTAATTACTGATGGTAGGGCGTGTTGTGAGCATGCAAGGGAAAGAACCACAAACTCAGCTATTTAAAAAGAAATAGAAATGCACCACTGTAAAAATGTGTAAGACTTTTAAAAAAAGTAATGTTTTAAACTTGATATAAAATTTAGTTACAAATAGGCTATTTAGAAATACCAAAATAAAACCCTTGTCGTAGTCCAGTAATTATACCGAATATACTTCGTACCCAATCTAGAAGCAGGTATTACTTTTGCCAATTATTAAGCGACCTTCGTTGTGAATGTCCGGTTTTACATCTTAAAATTCCAATATTTCAATATTGAAATCTCCACAAATCCAAACCTCCAAAGGCTGATCCCTCGCAGCCGATAACTTCCCGTATCAAACTACGAAACCATATTTATCACACCCTCGTACATTGTTTGACCAAAGTTTTCAAACGACCCGAATCTCGGTAACACCATCGGAACCCTTGTTTACGCCCAATAAAAATCGCCAAGTCCGGTCAGGATATCGTGAATTTTCCAACCCTCAAAAATTTTCATTAAGCCAACTCGATCTGTGGTTCGGTCAATCGATAACAACTCTTAACCCACTCGTTTAAGGTTTACGCTGAGCGCATACGTTTTCGACGTCCCCTTGATTCGGTCCATATGTTGGAAACAAGTGAACTGGCTTCTTAACACACTGGACACCCTAAGTAGTGTTTGAGGGTGGAAAATTTTGGTTTATTGGTATTTCTTATGGGTTGATTTTCACATGTTTGTAAGGCTCCAAGGGTCGCGTAGGGTGAAATTGAGTGGTTTATTGATGGGAAAATTCCCACGCTCTTAGAGATTTATTTGTTGCCAGATTTCTAAATAAATCCTACCAACATTGCTACTATGACCGTTCATTTAAAAAAGGCTTAGAAGAACCACAGCTATATTTCATATCACGTTGTAAAATATTAACCGGTAAAAGTACTCATTGTAAACCAGAGCCCGTAGTTTTAAGCAGTTTTAAACAGTCTCGGTTTGAAGGGTTTTATTATAAGCCTTTATCATACCACAAACTAAATTTCGACACTAGGTCTCTAAGTGGATTATGACTATAGCGTTCCAGTTTCTTTGGATTTAGGAACTAGGCCTATTCTTTAATTATATTAAATAGTTATTAGTTTATTTTCCACACTATGGCAGTGCCTTAGTAAAGCCTCACCGACATAATAATTCACGCAACCCTCAACAGCGGAAGTCAATTGGGCGGAAAGGCGTCTTGACCGCGGAGGTCGAGTGACCCTTCCCGCTTCAATCATAAGGCTTTTTATGAGGGCGCTTTACGAGTCCCTTTGAAATTTCCAGATATTTCGGGAAATTAGCCGACCTCTACGAGTATATAGGTTACAGTAACACCGGAAAACAAAATTGCTATGTAAAGCAGAATGGGCATTTCTTTAAGATTCGGCTACTTAATATTCTTAATTAGATTGACACTATCTTAGTAGTAGGTCCAATTTGAGAGTATTCAGTTGAATTTAAAGTCTACTAATAGTCAGACCTAGGCTAGGACTACTTCGCTCAATCGCTTATTATATATTAGTGGAATCTTCTTCTTCTTGCCCATTATATGGTGTCGGCGTAGCATGATCTCTTGCTCCATTCAAGAATGTCCTTCTTCATATATATACTAATTCCTTCTCTCACAAAACCACTTTCACACAGACCATCCAAGTCTTTTTAGGGCACCCATTTCCTCTTAGTGTCCTCAGTAGCGGAATTATTACCTTACTACTTTCATTTGTATCCTGATTTAGAAATCCCAGGTTTGACATTTCCAAAAACGGTGAACCCTAAAGTTCAAGGCGGCCCAGAACATCAATTTGAATAAAAATACTATTAATCATTCAAGTTCTGCCACAAAATTTAACCTCAAATGTAACTAATTGAAAATCTCAACGGTCAAGAAAAACTTTTAAAGTATAATTTTAACAACTAAATACAAACAAAACATATAAACGATATAACAATGTATTTCACAAAAAAAAAAAACAATCCAAATATCCCGTCACACCAAAAACTATAACCGTTCGCTAGCAACTCTCAAAACAAAAGGACTACTACAAATTTTCAAAAACAAAATCAATTGGCGACATAATCTAAACATCATTTCAGTAGATCGTTTAAGCAAATGACACTTTGACAACCGTCTGTAGAAGTAACAGAACCGTGACAAAGAACAGTATAGTTGGCGGCATGATCTTTTCGGTTTTGTTCGCTGTGAGTATCTGTTTCGAAATGATCGGCATCGCAAAGGCCTGGTTGTTGCAGCGATTCAGCTGAAAAGAAAGACCATCGTAGTATTACAAGATCAATGTATATATTTTTTTTTCCTACCTATCCTAGTAACCTAGTATCCGTAAATTCTAGATTCGCCGAGCTTGTAGGTGAGTTCAAGGGGCTACAACAGCAGTCCGGGAACGGGGATAAAATGAAACTTTTATGAGTAAAAAGTATATATTGAAGTGAAACTTCTTTAGAATCGTTAAATTTTTAGTTATTATTTTCTTTTCAAAATTCTCATGGGGGCTATAATATGAAAGATACTAAAAAGAAGCGATTTCGTTTTTTTCTTTTGTTCTTCGCCATGGGGCAATATCAACTTACACAAAAATATTTTGAGGTAATAATTAAAAAAGTTCCCCGACCGCTGGGCTACACGAACCCTAGCAAGAGCCGTGCTTCGCAGAATCTACCACCGGATCGGAAACTCGATCCAATGAGAAGATCCAGCGAGAAATTCAGTGGGCTGGGTCTCAGGGTTAATTTACTCGTCGAGCCCTTCGTCACAAGCGACGGGTAAGCTCAATACAAAGCCGCTGCATTATTTTCTTATACGCGCTCACAGCCAACCTAGCTGTTACCTAGCCAGTTAATTAGTGGCGACCCGGGCCCATAGAGATGACGTCAATGCTCCCACTCACTTTGAGAGGTGAATTCAAGTCTCCAGTTGGTATTGAGATAAAGCCGCCCGACGCTTTGCGGATCGCAGAAACAAGCGGATTAGGTCCAGCCCATCTCAACATCAGTAATTAAATATTGTTTCAATAACAAAGACGCTATTTTTGAAAGCTAATTTCTCATATGTAAATTCAAAGCATTGAACGCATGATATATCTTCATAGTTATTTCAAACAGAAAAACATGCGGCCTACATGACTTTCTTTAGTCACTGTCGCGCGTGGACATCAGCATTACCCGGAGCCGAAACAAAACCGGTGCCCAATGCTACATTTCTCGATTAGTTTTCTACATAATTTTTCTAGCTAGACCAAAGCATTATAACTAGCGGAGAGCAGTGATACGTTTTCCTGCCATTGTCGATATTTAGCGAAACCAGCCCGTCTTCAATTTCAAAACAATAATTAGATTTAATTGAAATGAAACTCTAACACCAACCTCACAGCATGTAGTGTCCGGTGAACCGACGCACCCAGATTTACATCCACGTATAACGGCTTCGTAGTTATTGTCGCTGCCTCTGGACGTAACAGACGTGAAGCACTTATCCTCTGTACTGTGACAGGTGATCACGTGAACTCTAAGAACCAAACAAAAATATAATTTGCAATCGTCGCTAGGCATTTAAACAATTTAATTTTGATTAAATGGTCTTTTTAAAATATCGTCAGTTTTTGAAGCTTTAGGCGCTATCTAATAGTGATTTAAAAGGAATTTTAACTCACTCACACCTCAAGTTGATAAACGTAAAATTAATTATAAGGCACTCCTAAAATTGATTTATAAAAATGTTAATTTTTCATTTTAATAATTTCTATATTTTTCATATTTTTTATTTATTTCATTTCTTTTTCATTAACTAATTTTAAATCGTTTTTTCTTCCAAACATACTTTCATAAATAGTTACAATAGAAATAGTATCAATAGCTTGGCCAATACCTGTGCTTGGCGGGATCTAGACACGATCTAATGGGCGTATCGGTTTTGTAAGCGCAGACGTAGCACTCCAAAAGTCGTCGGCTGGTAGTTCTCGTGAGTGGAGCAATAGTCTTGGGAGCGGCGAGGACCGGCGGTGCTCTTCGACCAGGAGCCTCAATCTTCTCCGGTGGTTCATCTTCTTCTTCGTCACCGTTATCCTCTTCCCCTTCCCCGCCGTCTTCGTTTTGTCTACGCAGAAACAAAAAAAGTACAGTTGCTTTTTTTGCAACGAAGTTCCTTATGGGACGACGCGGAGGGGTACCCTAACCGGGAAAAAACGTCCGTAACGTAAAATTTTTATTAGTAATGCACACAGTGTACGACTTAACTTTGTAATAACGTACAAATTAGAATGCACACAGTGTACGACTTAACTTTGTAATAACGTCCAAAAAATAACATATTTTTTTATCATTCATTGACCACGATCTCCGAGCGTTCGTTTGCGCAATACACTAACTCTTATGCAAACAACCGTGAATGAAGTGTACCACAAGAAGTTCGCGCGTTACCGAATGACCGTGGGTTGTTGCGAAGCCTCCAGTTTTATTTTCTTTATACCTCGAATAGAACTTAAAATTAATATTTTTATAATGAGGAACTTCGTACCTGTCCAGTGTTCCACGACACCACACATCTTTTTTTAACTTTAAAACTACTTATAGTCTCTCCGTACGTTATTGAAGGGCACTTTAGTTATTTGGACTACTAGCTTGGTACAAATAAGTATTATCATAGAAAAAATAGGTATCTTGCATTTTCTTGTCGCCTTTCATCGCATTGTATCACTCTACAGTGCTTAGATATACACTATGACTGATAAATATAGAGATGCGGGAGCCGAATCCAGACTGTGGTATCTTTGTGAAAAAATCACATGGTATCGTAAGGAAATTTCTGGTATCGTATGCGTCTCTGGCATGCGTAACGCAGGAGAGAATCCCAATTTGGGACTGTCGAATGTTTCCAATTGTACGCAATTATGTTGTGTCCATGTATCCGTAGCTTACACTAACCACCGGTCGTCTGTTAGTAAAATCAGAATAGAAAAACTAATGATAAACTATGCGGGAGTATTATAATGAAAACTCCAAATATCTATGTATTTAGTTGAATAATGAAAATTAATACTTTTTATTTTAAGATACAATTTCGTATTTTTAAAGAATTTATATAAATCTATAATATGATTTAGTGGTTGATCGTAAGGTAATCCTGCACGGACAAAGAAAAAATTTATCCCATTAACATGGCACTTGGTAATGTTGTTGGCACTCCCGGGAAATTTACTATTATAGTACCACGAAGGAATGATTTCACACATTTTCCAGAAGACACAAAAAAACTTACTCATCGTCATCGTCTTCATCCATTTTGGAGCCAGTTCGCATCGGCAGCAGAAGCAACACGGCCAGAACAAAACAATACCTCCACCGAACCATTTCCACTTTAGGGAAATTATCAAGAAAATATCAATATTAAACACAACAATCCATTACATTTTTCATATTATTACCGAAACACTAATTTTATTTTTATCTTCAAAATTTTCCTCTAGAATTTTACATTTGACAACACATCTGACGGATGAATTTGATTTCAGAATTTCTGGCTGTTTTTCATGTCTTTTCTTAATTAAAGGTTTGTTAAAATTTTGTCGTATTCTTTATTATCTATGGAAGAATAGATTTCGGTATAATAAAAACAAATTCATAGTAAAGTCGTTCGAAGGCTAAAGTTAGTTTCAAGAATTAAAAACGCATCGGGAGCTATAAGTTGTTACCATTTTTTGACCTTGACTTGATAGGCAGACAAATTATGGTCATAAAATGGACAGTTGGATTCACATGACGGTACCCACATTTGTATCCTTCTAACGCCTACACAAATAATAAAAATTTGAGATTGTTTATTACCGCCACCTTTTATTGAAATTATAAACGCAAATTCTACTCACAGATAGGTGGCGCTGTTATCAAATACGCTTGTAAGTAGAATTCATAAGGGCTATTTTTTTCTAATTGGAATGGTTTGTCTTATTTCATATATAATGTTTCACATATAAAACAATATTATTATATTATTTCTGAGTAAAGTACCGTAAACTATAAAAGTACTAATTATTATATACTATAAATTTGATTGGAAAACTTTTATTGCTTACTCTGAAATTTCTTTTTTAACAACACACATCCTCTAATTAACGACACATCCTCTAAAAAAAGGGGTAGATAGATCACTGTGGTAGTTCACAGTTTTACTAAATGCATATTTAAGCGAAAGTAAAGAATGCGATAGATTAAATGTTTTATTAATTTTGTTCATAAAAAATGCAATTTTTCCCAGACAATACACAAATAGTCCGAATATCAAACAATTTAATTTAATGTGGTAATTTTAGTAATCGTACAATGCATATTGGTTTTTTCGTAAATTTGATTCAAATGCTTCATTTTTTGCCACTATGCAAACACACTATGAATGCTGGTTACGATTGCCTTGATGCAAATAATATAATCAATATACGACTCATTGCGAATTATAAAAACCGGACAGCGCGTCCTAAGACCGATACACAAAATAGGACGTAGAGTAGATGATTCTCAAGATCCCTACAGACATATGGATATTGGGGAAGTGTTAACATATTTACTGATAGCACTAGTAATATTTTATACTTAGTAAAAACAAAGTTGTTGGGATTGCGCACGTGCATCTTTTGATTAATTACGAGACTGAACTCTGCTGTTTCTGAGGAATTCTTGCGAAATAAAATCGCCAATAAAAAACCAGCAGTCAGATAATCCTTCAGTCTTACATGAACCTTGTACAAGAATCACATCGTTGGACCAATTGATTATCTACCAATCTCTTTAATTAATCTCATTCTCAATTTAATTAATATTTTTGGATAAGCGCATTTGAGAACAGCTGGTCTGGTTTTGTTAATTTTATTGTTATAGTTGCAAAGGTCCGGATGATATTTTCAGGTAAAGAAAAATAGTAGTTGTCCTAAAATAATAATTCACATGATGTTCATTTACAAATATTATTGATATTTAGACAGGACAACGTTTAGCGACTCAGCTAGTATTATGAGACCGTATGAGCTGGCATGACAAGTCTGCTTTTTAATATTGCAATACTATATTGGGTTAGCAACCAGCACACGCTCGACGAGTGAACTAACCCATAGACACAGCCCACTGAGTTTCTCGCCGGATCTTCTCAGTGGGTCGCATTTCCGATCCGGTGGTAGATTCTGCGAAGCACTGCTCTTGCTAGGGTCAGTGTTAGCAACTCTCCGGTTTGAGCCCCTGAGCTCACCTACAAACGTTAGGGTGAAGCTGAAATAGCCTCTCAAGGCTAACAGCATAGGTAGGAAGAAAAAAAAACCAGCACAGAGTTTAATACAAATCATAAAAATATGTACGCTGCTTTTTTTAACTTTGCTTATTAATTAATGTTAATATATCGTCTTTTCGCATTAAAAGTGTACAATTTCCAAAAATATTCTAAATTGAGTTAATATGCGGAATCATTTGGTATCACCAGTATTTTTCTCGTAAAAACTGTCAAAAGAGCGTAGTTTAAGTTTTAATTTTTTTTTTAGTTTACATATGTTTTGACTACTATTAACAAAATGAGTAGGTACATAATTTTATCTTAATTTAAACGACAGATAATGTAACTAGTAAAAAATAAAAAATAAATGTTGTAAAGATGATTAATATTAAAAATATCACACGTTAAACCTTTAAAGCCTGTAAAATTAGTTAGTTTTGAGATTATACAGTTTTAATGCGAGAAGACGATATATCTTTTGATTTACGTTAATTAAAAGTATTTTCTTAAATAAATTCTAAACAAAAAAAAAGATGCCGTATTAATTGAAAATAATATGATTTTATTCAGTTTCAAAATTACGAGTTTCATAATTGAAACTTTTGAAAATCCAAGCTCAATTTGTGATTAGCGTGAGAGGCCATTCTCTAGAAACATAGCCAGTGAGCAGCGAAAGCTAATGAGAACGTTTAAAAGGCCTCGTCCTAGCCGTCCCATCTTTCATCATGAATAAATGAGTGGCATGCTTTAAAGCTCTTTCAGTAACGCACACAGCTCCGCCGAACTAGGCCCCTTTGCGTGTTCGGTGGCAACGCGCGACGCAGCGACCGCACAAAGCACGATGCGGACTCCAATCCCCGCTCAATCCCTCCACATACGACCTCATTAAAAAATGAAAACATCACAAGCACGCCACAAGCCCACAATAGCCGAAAGATCGTCAAAGCGGAAAGCGCCACCTGCGGCGAGTAGCGGAACTACGCCACTCGCGAACTCAACCTGTGTACTGTTTTAATTAGCCTCATACAGGAAGTGAATGCGTGAAATACGTTAGGTTTTTTTCCCTCTCCCGGTTAGTTTGGCGGCTTTGAGTAAAGTATGTTAATTCACAAGTAGCCCAGCGCTAGCTTTTTGAAATTCGCTCGAAATGATTTTTTATGTTTGAATATAAGACTTATTCGACAACTTTGAGTGGTTAATTAGAGGTGAATTAACTTTATCCGGTTTGTTTGTGTGCAGGGTACGTAGACGAAGCGACCGCTAAGTCTGGCCGGGTCTCGACGAGGCGACGGAGAAACTTCAAACTTCTTTTATCTCAGTCTAGGTTCGTTCAAAAAGTGCAAACTCTGTACAAAGTTCACTTTCGCCTTGTGAACTAATTTTTCGCTCGGTGTCAAGTTCATGGCTGGAAGAGGCGGTGGGGGGTGAGACGCCGGCGGCGGGGCGGATGGCAGCTCGCTATGATAAAATAAAATATTCATTATGATTGCTCAACGCGGCACTGTTCGCGAAAGCGCGAATGTCTACATCCTGTATATTGGCTGATGCTTTATTTTCACGGATTTAGTAACACGAACTCAGTAATTTTTACGTTAGACTAATTAAAAAAGGATGTGTGGTGTCGTGGGACACCGGATAGGAACGAAGTTCCTTATTATAAAAATATTAACTTTAAGTTCTATTCGAGGTATAAAGAAAATAAAACATGTTGGTTTCGCAACAACCCACGGTCATTCGGTAACGTGCGAACTTATTGTGGTACACTTCATTCACGGTTGTTTGCATAAGAGTTAGTGTATTGCGCAAACGAACGCTCTAACGAATCGTGGTCAATGAATGATAAAAAATATGTTATTTTTGTACGATATTACAAAGTTAAGTCGTACACTGTGGGACGTTTTTTCCCAGTTAGGATACCCCTCCGCATCGCCGCAAAAGGAACTACTATATACGACATAAATAGGGAATTAGATTTAAAATTTTCACTTACATTTTATTTGAGACTTATAAGGTTTTTAAAATTTCTTATAAGATTTCCAATTCATTACCTTGTACTCATAATAAGTTAACTACGAATTTCAATGTCTAATACAAGTTCCATAATTTTTAAAATATTTATACTTATTTTAAGTGTGTATGCATTTTTGTATATATATACAATGCGAGGGTGCAGTGAATGTTTATTGATATTAATTCTAAGTTTTACTGACTGAATTGATTACACACAAACCGTACAAATGTTCTATGGGATAAATATTAAATGTTACGGTCGCAAGGACTGCACCCGACTTCCTCACACACAGGTTGTTGAATGACGTTTATTCCAGTTCAGGTGCTGTTTTAAATAAACACTCTATACCTATGCTTTACTGCTTGTTTGAGGTACCTATTCGGTCGTATTCCACCGAACGATATGTGTCTAATGTATTTATTGCCTTTATTGGAAAATGTGTACATTCGTATGTTTCAATTGTCGTTTACTGTTGGTAGGAACTCTTGTGAGTCCGCACGGGTAGTTACCACCAGCCTGCCTATTTCTGCCGTGAAGCAGTAATGCGTTTCGGTTTGAAGGGTGGGGCAGCCGTTGTAACTATACTGAGACCTTAGAACTTAACCTCTCAAGTCGGGTGGCGCATTTACGTTGTAGGTTTGTAGCACCAGGTGGGCTGTGAGCTCGTCCACCCATCTAAGCAATAAATAAAAAAAACACCTACCATTAAATCGTCTGCATTTGTTTGACTGGTAGAGAATATCTTAGGCGTTAAGTCCGTCAATATATACCAATACTAGTAGTGTAAATAAACAAATAAATAATTTAACATCATATATAAATTCTATAATTCTTTTTTAAAACAGCAGACAATTCTCAACAAGCCAACTTCGCAGCCGAAGACAGCAGGCTGACGTAAAAATCGTCCCGGACCTGCCTCAAACAGTGAAAAGTGAATCTCTCCAGACTTGAAGTATTTTTTACCGTCTTCCCCTTAATTAGTCCATTAATCCCCCCGTGAACGGTTGGGGAACTTTGCCTGCGCTTCGGTTCGGTTCTCGATTTTTTTATTCAGTCCATCGCTTTTGTACACATCGCTTGTATTGA